CTGTTGTAACATCGGTGACAACCTGAAATCTAACATTCCAAGGGAGGCACATTTGACTGTCGTGGTTTAGATACATGCTCAAAGGGCCGTTGGGCATGTAATCATAAACCAAAATCTTGTGGGAGTTTTCATTGCAGAAAAGTCCTCAGCCCCACAATATTAAGATATTGATCTTTAGGGTAAAACAAGATGGCATTTTTATTACTAAACAAAAGATGAAAAAATTTCTAGTGATCGGAGCAAGTTGTGGGAATGTGATCATATTCTTGCTATGAATTTTGACCCTACTCATTTTTTTAAAAAGAAAAATGAAAAAGAAGGATAAGTTAGAAGAGGGACCCTTGTCAAAGTTAAAGTTGTTTTCTTATAAAGAGCTTCATGATGCGAAAAAAGGATTCGTTCAAATTCTCGGCTGTGGTGTGGTTGTTGTGTTTCTCGGGGAGTGGCAACCGTTCTTCCTCCTCTTCTTCTTCTCCATCTCCTCTCATCAGAGTGAAAAACCTTTATCAACAAGGAGGTGGTGTGAAGTATTTTCGTTCTAAGGTGTGCACCATAGGAAAGATTTAACATATTAATATTGTGGGGCTGAAGAGTTTTCTGCTATGAAAATTCGCACATGATTTTGTTTGTGGTTACATGCCAAATGACTCTTTGAGCATGTATCTAAACCACGACAGCCAAATGTGCTTCCCTTGGAGTGTTAGATTTCGGGTTGCTACTGATGTTGCAAGAGGAATGACATATTTTCACAAGGAATGCGCAAAGTGCATCCTACATTGTGACATCGAACCTGAGAACATTCTCTTGGACTAACAGTTCTCCACCGAGGTTTCAGATTTTGGGATGGGACAAATCTTAGGCGGAGAATTTCAGAGAGGGTGTGCAAGCGTTATAGGGACTTGGGGCTACATTGCACCTGAGTTTTTTCTCTGGGAGTGTAATCACGACCAAGGCTAACGTTTACCGCTATGAAATGACAATGCTGGAATTGATTAGTGAGAGTCGTAGCGGGAGCTACCTTCAGCAGGAGAATGGTTATTCACACTGAGGATAATGCAAGAGATATTACAAGGGAACATTACAGAGGTTGTGGACAAGAGGCTTAAAAAGATTATGACGTGTTGAAGGCCAAGGGGGTGAGACTAGTGGCAATTTGGTGCATTCAGGAAGAGCTGTCTGATAATAACTCCTCGAGAAACACAGCTCCAAACCCACCACGGAAGAGCATTTGAGAAAATCCCTTCGTCGCATCGTGAAGCTCTTTGTAAGAATCCGCTTCAATTTCGGTGAGGGTCACCCTTCTAACTTCTTCCTTTCCTTTTTCTTCTCCTTACAAAATGAATAGAGTCAAAATTCCTACCACGAATATTATCACCATCCCACAACTTGCTCCGATTACTAGAAGTATCTCCATCTTTTGTTTCCTACTAATAACGCCATTTGTTTTATCCTCAAGGACAACTCATCATCATCATCCACAAGGTTTTTTTTAAATCCAACAATTCTCTCTAGAGATTTCTACACAAACTAGAGTTCTTATCATAATGCAATCCAACACGAGAGTAATAACTCAAGCATTGCTTCTCACAAGCATCTTTAGTTCCCGTGAAACACGTCATTCTTCTGCGAATATCATCACGGATACATCCACATTGAATTTGTGTGCATTCCACAGATCATGAGCATGTCATGGCTTAAATGCGGAGAGACATTTAAAAGGACTCAATTGAGACATTGAGTCACAAACCCCCATATTCCCACACAGTCCATATACAATACATGGATTCTCGGGTTTTAACCATAAAATATTCCAATGTTCGTTGATGGAAGACAAAGTCGACTGTTTAACTTGCCTAGTCTAGTCTAAATAGATACGGGTCAAACCCAAGTTCATTCCAGGCTCTTCGGAAACAGCAGAGTACCTAGGGGATGCCATTGAGGCAAAAGGCTATGAATAAGTGAGTTTAAAAAGGTTAAAAGCAGTTATTTCAAGGGCTTCTACAAAAGAATTTCAGTCTACCTCCCAGTACTCGAATAAGCATAATTATAAGCATTATTGACAAGAGCCATCTCGCAGTATTGTTAAACCACGAGCCAGAAAGAATACTTGCCCGAAGAAAGGGTTGTAGAGCTTTTCCAAGAACTAAACTGCATGTGACTTGTCAATTTCATGCCTGGAAGTCAAGTGTTTGTCACAAAATCAAAGCTTTGCCAAAGCAACACACTATCTTTGTCTAGAAATATAATATTTTCTTATTCCAACAACTTCATGTTTCTTGCTTGCTTTAGGTCATTCGCTTCCCAAATCAAATCTTCTACACTTTTTTCAAAATTGCATTCCCATCAGACTTTATAATCTCTAGCTTAATGCCTGAAAGAGTCTTGATTGGCTTTTCCCTATTCGCCACCCAAACATATGTGGGCCTGAGACCCAAGGCATACCAAATGCCTAAATACCAGCTGGATTCGTCTATTTTAGGACTGAAAACCCAACATAAATGTATTGTTCTTACTTGAAATCCTCTCATGTCCATTAAGCAAAACACTACTCGATCTTGGCAAAGACTGAGCTATTTGTGTAACAGCTTGAGATAAATTTTGATTGTTTGTTGGCAAAAGGGTCTGATTTCTTGGCTTCAGTGATAGAGAACTAGAAGCATTCAAGAAGATCATTATGAGAAGGGAAAGAATTTGAAATCTGCCAATGTTAGTGTGGGGCTCGTAGCCCTCGCAATTTTGCGTCCGCTAAACCGACACAAACAAATTATTTTTTTTATGTTAGTCTAAGCGACGATAAAATGTGTAAATATTTTTGTATGAATGTTTTTGTTTATAAGAAATATTTTACTAAAAAAATAAATAAATTGTGTGGGTTAAGCCCTTGCTAATATTCTTTTATATTTGAAATTTAGCAAGGAGTTCCTCCACACAAAATGTTGAGACAAATATCTTGGTGTTTCATTTTATGAGGGCATGTTTAACGCAAATTAGCAACGATTTTACCGACACAAACCGTTCTACAAATTTGAGAGGGGATCGCGAACACTAACTAACGTGGGCTTGGCCGACACTAATTATTGAGGGTTAAACCGACGCAAAATTGTGAGGAGCAGGCCGACGCAAACTAGGAAGGGTTTGACCGACGCTTAGAATTAGCATCGAGCAGCTTAGTGACGGCCTCGATTCCGATGCAAGGTCGACGCAAAGCTTCCTTTTGTTGCGGCTTTTACCTTTTTGTGAGGGTTTTTGCCCCACACTAAACCGACATATTCTAGTATTATTATTATTATTATTATTATTATTATTATTATTATTATTATTATTATTACTACTACTACTACTACTACTACTACTACAACTACTACTACTACTACTATTACTATAATTATTAGTACTAAAACAAATGTATGAAATTAGAAATTTTTACACGTAAATGCATAATATAAAACCTCCCAAACAGGCACCAAGATGACACTTTATTATCCATATTTGTGTTTTTGTAATTTTTTTAGTTAGTTTGTGTTTTAATAATTTAATTTAATAATTTTTCTTGTCTTATTTAGTGGAGTGAAAAGAATATAAAATTAGAAAATAAAGTCTTTTTTAATGTTTTTTAGATCATATTTCCTTTTTGACAAATTTTTTTAGAAACAAAAGTTATTCTTTTATGCAACCCATTAATTAGAATGAAGCTTATGTATCAAAAATATGCCACATAGATATGCCACATGTTGCGCTCCTCGAGTTAATAATCGACTTTTCATATATAAAGGATATACAAATATTTTGTCTTTCTGTTAGTATTACATCTTAATACATGGAAGAATAGCTCTGGTGCCCCTGTGATTTAAAAATAAGCATATACCAATAATATCCGCTCTCTTTTCAAAACTTAGTTATAAACTTTCTTTGTTTCACTTCAAGAAGTATTTTTTAATTTTTTTAAAATTAAGCCTTATTATATTTTAAATTTCAAAATTGTTCAAGTTTGAAATAAAGAAAATAAAATATAACATATATTCTATCTGTTTCAAATTAAACATTTTTATTTTTTTATTTTCTAAAATTAAACAAAACTCTAATTTTTGGGACGTTCAAGAAAAAATTAGGAATAGAAAAGATAAAAGCGTAGCCATAGAGAGGGGTGATAATTTTTTGCAATGTCTAGAAAAGTCTTAATTTTTTTAGATGTGTCAAAAAATTACTCTTTTTAACTTTAAAAATAATAAGAGGACATTTTTACAATACTTTGAAATTGTTAGGTATCGGTTCAAAAAAGTATTTATTTTATCATTCTAAAAGAATTTTATCCAAGAATTTAAATGTTTGGACGTTCCAAAGAAAACCTTATTAGTCAACTTTATGGATAGATTTCTAATTTTCAATAAGAGAATTATTGCATCCTTTTCTTTTTTTCATTTCCTTTTTCTATTTTTCTTTTCTTTTCTTTCTATATCTATTTTCTTTTTATTTTTTGAATGTACAAAAAATATTTTGTTTACTTTTGAAAATTTAAAAACGGAAATGTTTAACTTTAGATAGAGAAAGTATATGTTATATTTTTTTATTTTGGTTTTTACATTTCAAATAAATACTAATTTAAATTTTAAAACATTATAAAGAAGAATTCAAAAAAGAAGTTTAAGAATGATAATAGGCACCATGTCCATGTAGATTGGAAAAAGGCATTATTGTCCCCCCCCCCCCTTTTTATAACACAAAACTGAAAGAAAAATAATACAAACTGAGGTGGTGCGTGTGCAAGTTTTTTGAAATGACAAACATTTTTTTAATAAATTTTGAAAATAAATGATTTATTCATACCCATTTTTCAAACCACATATTCCATGTGTCATTCGATACTTTAAACTATAAGTATATGAATATCAAGATTTTTTTCTTTAATTCTTAATTTTTTACTATAATGTTTTTTCTCTATGACAAATTATGCTCCAATATAGGAAAACAAAAGGCCAAAAAGTCATACTAATAAAGATGATGAAACATTGTTATTTTCATTACATATTTAGGAGGAACTGAGTACATGAGTGCAAGAGCAAGCTTTTTCACTTTAATTTGGGAGGAACTGAGTACATAAGTAAAAGAGCAACCTATGAGGGTCTTTAATTTAGATTTTTTGTAGTGCATCTTTTTGTACTAGTATGCCATATGTTGTAAGTCCCCCGCTTGACTCAACGTCCTCACCGCTCTCGTAGAGGCAGGAAGCATCATGACAACGAATTCCTTGCTTATTATGGTATTGAAGAACCCGGTCCGGCCTCAGTCAGTGGTGGAACTCTCAAGGCTCCCTCAGTATGAAGAACATCTCTGAGACCGGGTCGCCTTCTCGCACTATGTATATGCCTTACATGCCTATCCTTGAGACTATGTGTTTTGTAAGGCATCAAACAATTAATTATCCATCTTTGAGAAAATAGGTACCTGACCAAATGTAAGAAGAAAAAAACATCTATTAGGACACCAAAAAAGTAAATGAAAAAAAGAAAGAATTGTTAAGTGAATTTCTTCTTCTTCACTTACATAGTGCGAGAAGACGACCCGGTCTCAGAGATGTTCTTTATAGTGACAAAAAACCTTGAGAGTTCCACCACTGACGGAGGCCGGACCGGGTTCTTCAATACCATAACAAGCAAGGAATCTATTGCCATGATGCCTCCTGCCTCTACGAGAGCGATGATGATGTTGAGTCAAGCAGAGGACTTAACACATATGGCATACCTATACAAAAAGATGCACCACAAAAAATCTAACCACAAATGAATCATTGGCTATTGTCATCCTTTAGAAGTAATGTATCATTGCATACTTACATGAAAAGGGTTACCCATGCCAATAGTGAGAGAAGCAAAATGTGTGCTGTAGCTTTTGGTTGTGCAACCCGTCTAAATTAGAGACCCTCATAGGTTGCTCTTGCACTCATTTACTCAGTTCCTCCCAAAAGAACACCTCTAAGACCAGGCTGCTTTCTCGCACTATGTATGTGCCTTGCATGCCCATCTTTGAGATTATACGTTTGGTAAGGCATCAAGCAGTTAATTATCCATCCTTGAGAAAATAGGTACCTGGCCAAATGAAAGAAGATGAAAAAAACATCCGTTAGGACACCAAAAAAGTAAACGAATAAAAGATGGTATCGTAAAGTGAATTTCTTTAAACACGTTGGAGATGTTCGAAGGATAGATGTTTTGAAGGCTGGGAGACAGATCTAAAGGCAAGTCACCATTTAGGATGGATTCTTCATTGACACCTAGAGTTGCAAGCCATTGACACTCGAAAAATTGCCAACACTTTTTTTCAAGGGTTTGGGAATTTGACGAAGTTGCATCCACTCTTCGGCGTTTCTTTGCTTTCTTCTCCATTCACTCGTCATCTTCTTCATAGACTGCAAGTACCTTTAATAAATTTGAAAAAAATAAATCAATTAATAAAGGATCAACTAACCTGCCATACAAGAGAACATAAACTAATTTTACAAATAAAAATTTTAAGCTCACAACTTCACATATTTCATATTTATTCTCAACAAATTATTTATGTATTAAAAATAATCTATAAACATGGAATCATAACTAAAAATGAGACATTAAAAACAAACTGTGAAATGTTTACGTACATTCATGTTCGTCACAACATGTGCGATCACAAGAATACCGAATAGGGTAGTGACAAAGGAAAAGAACATTTTTCTAAGATTCCTGGTTGGTGATAAATTTTGCCCCATTGAGCTGAAACCACATTTCCACATAAGAATCAAATACAATAATCGCTATTGCACCATATATAGCATGTAAGTTATTACCAACTAATTAGCAACTAAAATTTACCCCAGGCTCCTAAATTTCCACATAAAGCAATAGGAGCAGTTTTCCAAAAAAGGGACGTCGGAAAGAATATAATTAGAAAAAGCACTTTCATATATGCCATATTTAAAAGTACTACTCACCGTGTTGGGATTACACCGTGCGAACACACTCGTGAAGTTTGCCCAAGTCTTGCGTGCTTGAAAGTCAAGTGTGTCACATTCTATGTACTGAGGCACACATCTTGTGGCATTCTTTTCTTCCCTACACTTTCCTCTCCAACATGTTTGGCGATCAATGGACAATGTGTACCATGCCCCCCCCTACGAACTGAAAAGGAAATTAAAATCAAACATTGCCTCAAGCCACCATGGAAAAACATAAATAACAAAAAGAAAAGAAAAGAGAAAAAAATCAGTGAGCTACATACATGGCTAACCAACAAGTAGAAAATTAAATTGTATGCAGCCCCAACTCGTACACTTTTTTCTAGAGATCCAGTGACCCTAGTAACCTACATGGAGTACCCAATGTTTCATCAATTTATTATATATTTAAACAAATTGAGAGGTTAAATATATAGTAGCCACTATTGGTAGAGAGCATGTACCTCGGGGAGAAGCAAATTTGCAATGAGATCAAAGATAAAGTCTTTTCTTAGATATCTTTTGGTGATGTCCTTAGGCTTCATCACCTCTTCCAAATGCCATAGTATTGGGATCAACACACGCAGTTCTAAAATTAAGAATGACAAGAAGGAGATGAAAAAAATCTACAATAGAGCGAAGAATGGGGGCAATTTTCAAAATTTTGCGATGTAGAACACACAAGTTTCCCTCTGAACAGCGGGCGAATAAAAACCAAATGATCCAAGATGAGTGCCCATTGGCAAAGAATACTAAGCATCTTGCTGCACATAATTATGTCTGTGTGTGGATATAGGATCATAATTCCTGCTTAATGACTTATTGTTTTTTCATTTGTCATGGCCATTTAGTGTGGAGTTGGAAACAAGTAAAGAGCAAAGATTGGGATAAGTAATGAATGGATGTGGTGAAGAAGATTAAGGGCAATAGAGAAATTTATACCCGGTGGTTGGTCGTAGTAATTAAGCACTACTTCCTCCGTCCAATTGAAACAAAAGGAGCACTTTTCCATAAAAGGAACGTCGGAGAGAATATCATTAGAAAAAGCACTTTCATATATGCCATATTTAAAAGTACAACTCTCCGTGTTAGGATTACAGCGTGCGAACACACTCGTGACATTTGTCCAAGTCTTGCGTGCTTGAAAGTTATGTGTGTCACATTCTATATACTGAGGCACACATCCTGTGACGCTCCTTTCTTCCCAACACTCTCCCCTCCAACAAGATGTTTGGCGAGCAATGGACAATGTGTACCATGTCCCCCCCTACGAACTGAAAAGGAAATTAAAATCAAATATTACCTCAAGCCACCATGCAAAAACAAAATAACAAAAAGAAAAGAAAAGAGAAAAAAATCAGTGAGCTACATACATGGCTAACCAACAAGTAGAAAATTAAATTGTATGCAACCCCAACCCATACATTTTTTTTTGCTAGAGATCCAATGGCCCTAATAATCTGTGATCTCACCTTGAAAATCACTAACAGCCTCAGTATATATAGTAGGATAGTCAAAGCAAACACATTATTATGACATGTATATATTGGCTTGCAGATGTTTTTTGCATGATGAACCATATGCTAATCTACATGGAGTACCCAATATTTTATCAATTTATTACTCCCTCCGTTCCTTAAAACCCTTCCTCTTTCATTTTTTTTCAAATCCCTAAAACACTTTTTTTCTATTAAAAATCCACTTTTACCCCTACCTTTTCATACCATATTAACGTGGTGTTAATCTTCCTATCAAAAACTGTAAAGGAAAAAAATACCCAGTAACTATTAAGTACCCGTACTCCGTATAACTCTTTGGAGAAATACAAAGACATCAATAAATAATAAATAAATACTTGCCCCTTTTGTGCACATCATCGAAAAAAGCAAAAGAGATCAAACAAGTATACTACAAAATATAATTCTTGACATTCTCTTCAAAAAAAAAGTATAGTACGATATTTTGAAATTAAACTTTTCTCAGGGTCCGTTTGGTATACGGACTTGACAGAATTGGAATTGAATTGGAATTGAAATTTCACGGGATTCAATTCCATAGAATTGAATTCTGCCAATTCTAATTCATTTTTTACACTATTAATTCCAAATCCACATAATGTTTGTGCTACCAAACACCAGAATTGGAATTGAAGTCTTCAATTCCAATTCCATAGTTTGAATTCCATATACCAAACGGGGTCTCAATGAAATTGAACTAAATAGCACAATCACATCCTTCAACAAAAAAAAACACAATCACTGTTAGATGACAAAAAAAATGGTTGAACAAAAATAAATAGAACTTAATTGACTTTAAGAAAAAAGCCTATGGTTAGAAGGAGGCGACTACAGCTGCGACCTATGGCTATGGCAACGCGGAGTAAAACTGTGGCTTGATTAGTAACATAAATCCAACAATTTCAAGAATACTGAGATTTCTTCAAGTAAGCAATGAAACTAAAATAGCACATACAATGTATACTAATTTACAGCAAAAACTAAGAATAGTGAGATTTCAAGTACAATGAAACCAAAATAGCACACAATGTGTACAAATTTACAGAAAAAACTAAGAATAGTGAGATTTCAAGTAAACAATGAAACTAAAATAGCACAATGTGTACAAATTTACAGCAAAAAACTAACGATTGAGGCTAAAATAATAGAATTTAATTGAAAAAATAACCTTCGCGAATGGTGCCGAGGGGAAATGAAGGTGTGTGGGACGAGGTGGCGTGCGGAGGCATTTATGTGTGGTGGCGGCATCGGCGATCGTCGGCGAAGGCGATGGGGGGACGGCGGAGGCATGACCTGATTCTCTTGGTTTTGTGCCTGTTTGGGAATAGAGTTTTAACTACGAGCAGTGTTTAGCTTTAGCATTTTCAAAGTAATCTGCCTAACGATAATATCTAAAGCTATTACCAATCAGGCCCTTCTTCTTATCGTCTCTTTCTCTCTTTGGCGTTGTTCAGATTTCAGAATGAATGGTGGGTGGGGATTCTGTCAATAGATAGGGTATTAGGGTTGAGTGTGTGGTTGTAATCTTATACGGAGTATATATAAATAAGAAAAATTAAATAATTAAAAATAATGGTATAATGGTAGTGTAGTAGTATAATGGTTGCATGGAATATACGGAGTAATGTTGAATATATATGCTCTCTATTCCGTTTCATAAAACTCTTTCTCTTTCATTTTTTTTCAATTCTTTAAAACACTTTAACTTTCTATTAAAAAAATCATTTTTACCCCTAGTTTTTCAAACTCTACCTATCACATCGTACTTTTTCACTAATAACCAAACTATCACATCTTACTTTTACCCATCACATCAGGAGCAAAATTGGAAAGTCAACCAAAATTACACTTTCCTTATTTTAGCCCAAAGTCAAAATAGGAATGGTTTTAAAGAACGGAGGGAGTATGTGATTTTAGGTATGTAGATAATTACATACTCCTTTCGTCCATAAATATTTGTCACACTTCTATTATCGAGGTAAAATATCAATTTTTTTCAATTCATTTTATTTAGATATTGGTATAAAAATAAAAAATAAAATTAAATATCAAAAAACTAAATGAAAAACTCTTCGAAATAAGAGGTGTCAAGAATATTTTATTGACAATATATAGCATGTAATTTATTGCCAACTAATTAGCATTGCTTGTGGAAAAGAAAATTTATCCCATGTTCCAAAATCCCCACATGAAGCAATCGGGAGTAAACTCCCGGTATATGTAACATTTTAATATACCATTCAGTGTATGGCAGGTGTTTTTTTCCTGGCAGTGCAACCCGGAGTTGCCTACTCCGTTTCCTCTTGCTTTATTTTTAAAGACGGAGTAGTTTAATCCGTTTGGGTCCAATTATTTAATGACACGGAGTAGCTAACTCCGTTTGGGCGGAATAAAACCAAAACGGAGTAGCCAACTCCGTTTGGCCTGACTTAATCAGAGACGGAGTAGCGTACTCCGTCAATTTATGTCTATCCCCGTGTCTCCTCTTTTACACAGATCTGAGATCTGTAAAACCAAAAAAAAACGGGGCTGGGAGTCGGTAACGCCGAACGACGAGGGAGTAGTAATTGTCTATGTTTGAGAAAAATTAAAATGGTGGAGCGCCGGTAGTAAGTGATGGAGTTAGGGTTGTAAAACGAACGAATAATTTTGATTCGATTCTTGATTCGTATTCGAATTCAATTATTCGTATTCGAAAAAATGAATACGAATACGAATATAAATATTTATTAGAATTTGAAAGAAAACGAATACGAATACGAATGTATATGTATTCGATTCGATATTGTACACCGCAGGTTTGCACCGACATTTTGTGTTGGTGTAAAACTAATTTTTATTAATGCACCAACACTTTGTGTCTGTGTAAATTTTTGTTAACGCGCCAACACTTGTGTCGGTGTAAACCTTCAAAATATTTGTTTATAACTGCGGTGTACAAATGAGATACTCCCTCCGTCCACGGTCCACCTAAGATCTTTCCAATACGTGTTACGAGGCTTGACCGACTTTATTTTCAATTCAATTTAATTGATTATAGGAATAAAATTTTAAAATAAAATTCATATAGTAATAAACTACATGAAAAGTTCTACAAAACTAGAGGTGACAAGATTATATTATTTTACGAAATGACTAGTAAATATGAGCAAACAAAGTGAGTAAAATTTCACCCTGTGAATAGTAACTGAGAAGATCTATGATGGACAGACTACAGAGAGAGTACAATTTTTGGTGTAAGTGTAGCATGGTCTTCATTAAAGCCACCAACTACTCCTTTGGCGTGAATTAATGTACGGAGTAGTGGAGCTCAGATTATTAAAGCCTTCAACTCCACAGTACGGAGTAGTGGGTGGAGCTCAGATTATTAAAGGAACCATGCTAGGGGTACACCAAAAGTGTACCCCAATTGTACACCACATGCTTTCCCACCACACATTTTTATTTAATTTTTATTTATTTATTTATTATTTTTTAAATTTTTTGCCAATTATTGTGGACAAGGAAGGGGTGGGGATATTTGGGATACATCTTTTGATGTACCCCTAGCATTTTTCTTATTAAAGCCATCAACTCCACAGTATGGAGTAGTGGAGCTCAGATATCAATTTCCAAATTAATGTGCTCTCCCTAACTCAGCGCACACCTTGAAAATATAGAAAAAGAATACCTAGTCCCTCTAGTGTCTACAAGTGAAATATGGGTGGTTTTGTCCGAAGCTTTTGTCCCAAGGGATTCATTCTTACAATTAGTCTGTGCTCATTTTTTGCTCTAATCTTAGCTATTGGTACTATATTATTATTCGATTAATTATTCGATCTTTACATTGCGTTATATTTTGTGCAGTGTAAGGACATTTCTGATCAATTTTTGTTTGTCTCACTCTTGCATGTGCATTGAAAGACCATATCTATCAACAGCCAGACCCGGAGTATTGTTTCCCAGGAACACACCCAAAGTGCCACACCGACCAAGAGTGTGTAATCATTTGTCAAAAGATTGGCAAAGCTACTGGGGTTTGCACGCCAACACCTCCTGATCTCATTGAAGTCTGTTGTTGTTCATTCACATGAATCATTTGTGAAAACATTGAAATAATATTCATTATTTCAATGACGAACAGATTGAAATCCCTAAATATTCATTAGTGTAGTATTAATTTGTTTCTTCTAATAATAATATCGATCTCTTAAGCGTAGAGATAAGACTCGAAAATTAGATGTAAAGAAGCTTGGAGTGGCATCCTTGCCACTAAATTGCACTAACTTGCATCCATAATTTCTTTTCTACTTTTAATTACTCCGTATAACTTAATATGAAAACAAATGGTATGTTCTGCTACTATTTAAAAAATAAAATAGAAAATATATTAATTTTAAGGAAAAAATCATACAAATCCTTTATTATATACTCCCCGTCCCTAAATGATTTACACATTATAGATTGGCGTTTTTTTTTGAGTAATTATGAACTTTGAAGTTTCTCTTTGGATTTGTTTGTCACGGGATAGATTAAAAAATTGAACTTACTAGAAACAAGAAAATCCCATTCTTAAATATTTTTGCTTTAATTTTGCTTTAAGAATAGGAGATATTTTTTCTGCAAAAACAGAAAGATATTTCTAAATAAAAAATTCTTTTTAATATTTAAGTTATTTATAAATTGGTATAGAAATATAAAATACAACTGACATCCTTAAAAATTACATCAATGTTTCACAAAATAAATTGTGACAAAAATATTTTATTTTTATCAAATGGTCAAGAAAAAAATGGTAAAACATTAAAGTTATCGTGAGTGATGCTACGACAGTATTATGTAATCTATTTTGGGACGGAGGAGTATATATGTATATCTAAAAACTACATACTCCCTCCGTCCCCAATTTGATTACAAATTGCGGGTTACGGAGTAAAATTTTTTACTTTTTGAAATCATTTTATTTACAAATTGGTATATCAATAAGATATAAAAATTACATATTAAAAAACTACATCAAAAGTTCTACAAAACAAGATGTGACAAGAATATTTTATTTTATCAAATACTTAATGAAATCGCGTAAACAAACAAAAGTTATCGAGAGGAGAGAAAAAAAAATTGTAATCTATTTAGGGACGGAGGGAGTAAAAAATATACAATAAATGACACGATTATGTTATTAAATTAAATTATCAATAAAAATATACTCCCTCCGTCCCAAAATGTTTTACAGTTTATGGAAAATGAAGCGAAATTTTAATTTTTTAAATTTATTTCATTTTATTTTAACATTGTTAAAATAAAGTTAGAAATAACTTAATTACATATTTAAAAACTACGTGAAAAGCTATACAAAAATAAGAGATGACAAAAATGTTTTATATTTTATCAACATTTGAATAGTGAATAATGCAATTTTTTTTGACAAATGAAGTATGGTGTAGTAGTTAATTATGCTTTAATTCTTTTATTTATGAAAAAAAAAAGGATAATGAATTGATGTGCGATAATACTTTTTTCTAAAGTAAAAAATAATTAGATAACAACATTAATATTAATTAATTGATCAAAACTAGAAAGAGTATAACACAATAAAAAGAAAAGGAATTATGATCGCAACATATATACTACGTATAACATACACGTACTAGATATTTAAAAAACATACTCTTTCTGTTCCACAAAAACATTCCCATTTTGATTTTAGGGAAAAATAAGGAAAGTGTAATTTTGGTTGACTTTCCAATTTTGCCCCTGATGTGATGGAAAAAGTAAGATGTGATAGTTTGGTTATTAGTGAAAAAGTATGATGTAATAGGTAAGATATGAAAAAGTAGGGGTAAAAGTGTTTTTTAATTGAAAGTGGAAGTATTTTGTGGAAAGCAAAAAAACGAAAGGGGAATGGTTTTGTGGAACGGAGGGAGTACTAAATATTAAGATAACAATAAAATATGATACTCCCTCCGCCTTAAAACGTTCTTTCTAGTTACTATTCACATGGTCAAACTTTAATCATTCTCTTTACATATTTTCGTTAGTTATTTGATAAAATAATATAGTCTTGTCATCTCTTGTTTTGTAGAACTTTTGATATAGTTTTTAAATATATAAATTTTATTTTTTAATTTTACACCAACAATCAAATAAATTAAGTTAAAAATAGAGTCGATCAAATCTCGTAAACAGAAACGGAAAGAACGTTTTAGGACGGAGGGAGTACCATGTAGCATGTTTAGTTTGTAATATTGCTTTGATCCTTCTATCGTCCGATCCATCTCATCTAATTTCATTTGTTCGCAGTGATTGGAACGTGATATTTCTCCTTTAGGTCTTAACATATTAGTTGCAATATTTGATACTCTGCGTTATTAAAATTATTTAGAAATATCACGGGTCTAATTTGTCTAGCGTAACACATCTGATATTGTTGAACACTATACATGTAAAAGATAATCATGCACGTGTTCCTATAAAGAGTGGAGTAAAGAATGTACATGCATGTAGGGAAAACTGTCCCTTCTTGTCATTGTCCACAAGTACAAGACTTATTCTTCAAGTTGATCACGAAGCTATACATATGTCCTGAATCAAAGGTGGAACGAAGCTCTAGAGATTGGGAGTGTTTTGATGCCCGTCATAATGCATGGTTTGAAATGTTTATGTTTCTCTCGCACTTAAGAGATCTTAAGAATCTTCAAATTAAACCATAGATTTTTCATTCCCAGTCAAAATAAGATCTACGTCGTGACTCAAATGAATCAATTAGTTTGTTGTACGACATCATGCTAATAGCATTCATCGGTACGTAGCATTCGACAACCTTTTCGCATATTGTTAAAGTTCTCGAAATTGTTCGAGGTAAGTTTCCCACATCGATCGACTCCTACTTTTGTACGCAAGCGTCCACAATCTTGCGGAATCTCAGCAAGCTAAGATATTAAGGATATGCTGGTTCGCTCTTACTTCAAAATTTGTGCATATGCTCATGGAAAAAATATTTTCCCTTAAAGCGAACAATAACACAGTTCTTCGAACAATACACCTAAAAGCACTGAAAATACCTTTGAAGCTTCGGGGCTTCAAAATTTTTCTCTTTCTGCCACGTCAGCTTTACTTTAACTCACAATTTCACTGGAAATGAGTATGAAGCCCCGAGGCTTCAAACCTTAATTTTTTTAACTTTTAATATACATTTTATAAAATTAAATTAATTAAATTTCATTAATCAATTAAATTTAAATGATAATAATTCATTAAATAAAAAATTACATTCACTAAAAAAGAACATTTAATTAAAAAATTAAATTAATTAAAAACTTAAAGCAAATTATATTTAGCCTTAATGTCATTCTATCTTCTCTCAAAAGCAAATTGTATTTGCTTGCTTGTTTGGATCAAGATCGGACAAAAAAATTTGAAGAAGCGAGAGAGAGGGATGTTCTTTGTGTTTATTTTTTTAATTTGAAGAAGAGAAAGATTTTATTTGTGAGTTTATTTTTAAAAATGACTTAATTTATAGAAAAGATATTTTTTTAAGTTTGTAACGGCTTGTAGCCGTTTGAATGGAGAGGCCCGCTGCAAAAACGTTCGTTAAAGGTTTGACGCACCTCACGCGTTAAAAGGGAAATGACGCCCCGGGTGTTACGCCCATTGCCAGTGGCCCAGTGCCCTAAGTGTTACTCCGTCCCAATTTAAATCGGTTGTTGTTTACGAGGTTTGAATTAAATTATTTTCAATTCAATTTTTTTGGAAATTGGTATGAAATTTTAAAAAAAATGCTTCCTTCTTTCTTTTCATCTATCCCAAAAAATCTTTTTTTATTATTAAAAAGTCAATTTTACCCTACTAATTCTTAACATTCTTATCACATTATATTTTTTCACTATTAATCTATCCATCACATCTTACTTTTAACCATCACATTCGATGACATTTTTGGAAAGTCAACCCCAAAATACGATCCCCTCAACTTCTTTAAAGATTAAAATCATAAAAGTTTTGTGGGACGAAGGGAGTAAAATTTATATATTTAAAACTACGAAGTGCATCAAAAGATTTACAAAATAAGAAGTTACAAGACCAAATTATTTTCTCAAATGGCTAGTGAAAACAGGTAAAAAACGTAAACAAAGATAATTTAAATTGGAACAGAGGGAGTATATAATGACTTTGGGCTAATTTGAGACCCCTACGATTATTTGTTCGACCCTTACCATACCTACTAACCCCAACCCTACAAGTTTGGTTGACATTATAGACAAAATTGCTAACCAAAATCACCAAAACTTAGGGGGTCCAATTACAAGGGCTAGGGTACGGTGAAGGTTTATGTATTTTTCATCCCACTTGATCAGTCTTTACTAGGGCTGTCCATCGGTCTAAATCCGAACCAACTCGGACCGGACCGGAACCGGACCGAGACCGAATAAGAGAAAATTAGTAGACCGTGGACAGAACTGACAAAATATAAGACCGGACCGGGACCGGACCAGAAAAAAAAGGACCGGTCTGGACCGGCCCGAATAAGGACCGAATATTCGAATAAGGGGGGACTATATTAAAAAATTAAGTCATTGAAGATTTGCACTTGGCACAATGGCAGTGTTTTTTTTTTTTTGAAACATGGCAGTGTTTCTTTAAAAAGAATAAAATTGAGAAAAACAATATACTCCATTACTCCAATAAGCTGAAACATGAATCAGAATAATACAAACATGAACCATTTTCTTTCTTAAAATCTTTTTGGTAAATGTTTGAACCTCAAAAACTGGGCAAAACAAAAATTATCATACTTGGTCCGTCCCTGAGTGTTTGTCCACTTTTGACTTTTGGAACTGTTCATCTAAGCACTTTGACTCATCAAATTCTCTCAATGTGTAAGCCTAAAAATAGTCATGTGTGATCTTGTTTGATTCGTCTTAACATATAGATTATTAATATATAATTTTTATAATTTTTTAATATACAAATTACAAGATAAAATGGATTAAAGAAGTGCATTGGATGGTGTGCAAAAATGAAAGTGGACAAACACTCAGAGACGGAGGGAGTACTAAATAGTCAATACTCAATATCATCCATGATTTGGAATTGGGGTGGGTACTGGACTTTGGACTTTGGAAG